CTTTTCCTTGTGTACCAAAGATCTTCAGTGAGACGTTGTTCTCTGTACCAGCCTCATTACAATCGCCCGTTTTCACAACTATTAAATATTCAGTTCCTTCAAAGAATAAAGCAGAATCTAATTAAAAGTTACAGCTGATAAACGGATGTACTTAAAAACTGCAGAAAACCGTTTGCTAATAATTCCACAGTTTATATAACCCTTAAACAGTTTGTTCGCACCGTTTAAACGTTTTTATGTCACTTAACTGTTGTCGTCGACAAACTTGCCAATAGGACCTGTTTGCTTTATGTTCTCGGGCTGTACGTTGTCGTCGGTCTTAATCTTGCTACCTAAAATATTAGAAATATACAGAAAAGTTTAGTCTATCTCCATATTTCAAGAAAGAAAACGAAAACATTTCTATCTTATGGTGTTATTGAACAGTTTGGACGCTTTACTTTCTAAAAAGTTTATCAGCGCAGACATTGGGTCAAAATAACTCCTCTATTCAGATATATATTTGAACGCCATCGATTAATACACTGTTACTTGCCCAAATATGTCCGCGTATACAATGTATATTCAGTATTGTCCATGGATCGCTTACGTCCGCAAGCGTTAGGGGAAAGAGGGAGGGAAAGAGTATGGAGTGAGTAAAATTTTCAGATTTCTAGTAATTTCTCCCTGTACAAAGTTTCACTCCTTGTTCTTCCTCTTTCAGAGGAATTCAGAAGAGGAGTTACACAAAAAGATGTCTTACAGAATGTTTCAATAGTTCGGGAATTAGGTTCCATTAAGCGCATTAACCGAGTTGTTCTATACACTTTCTAAATCAACAGATTCTTCTCCAAATGAGTGGTACTGTCCAAAAACAGTTGAGAGTTTCTCTAAATTTTGATGTCAACAGTCCATTGCCAGAAAAAAATCAAAATTCATCGTTATATAATACGCTAAGATAGTTCAGAATAGAACCTTTCCCGCTGCTGAATCTTTTAAAAGTTCAGAACAAAGTAGTTTGTCCTTTTCCTTACCTGAAGTAGGCATAGTAGCTTCAGTAGACTTTTTTCCTCCACAGCAAAGCATAGAACGTCGAAGACGAAGTTTGATATTTCACAAATGTTGAAATTTCAGCAACTAACACTATTAATAGGTAAAAAAATTTCTTTTTTCTCTTCTTTTTTTATGGTAATAGAAAAACCAAGTAACAGAATCTGTCGACTTTTTCTCAATTCTACGATTTTTCAATATATGTAACTTAGGTATGCATCAGTTCCAGAACTGTTGTTTTGGCATTCAAGAAAGCTGTTATAACTCGGTTATTAAAAGTCACTCAGAAGTGCGAAACGTCTGATTTTGTAGAAAAATGTTTGTTCTACAAACCTTATTGTTCAAACGAAAATTCTTAAGTTAATATTATTGAAAATAGGATCTATTCAAAATAGTTGAACTGTTCGTCAACAGTTGCAATATTACGTGACTTTTACAATGCTCCTCTTTTCAGCACAATTAATTTTAAAATTCTTTTGAATAATAAGTTTTGTAGTCCAAACATTTCTCGCCAAAATGAGATGTTTCGTACTTCTGAGTGACTTTTAATAACCGAGTTATAACAACTTTCCTGAATGCCAAAGCAACAGTTCTAGAACTGGTGCATACCTACATATATGACTTTACATTGGATGGATAACATGTTTATAACGGATATTAGAGAGTGAATTCTATTCTTCTTTAGACTTTTATAGTGACAACCATTTTTCATTCTTTTTCTCCATATTGTCGTTCCATTATAGAATAAAATTACTCAGATAGGCACGACTTAAATATGAAACTACTTTAAATATTCCGTTTTCGTCAAAAGAAAATAAAAAAAAGAAAAAATCTTTTTTTTATGCTTGATGCATCCCTGATTACGATTATAACTAAGACGACTACTTTGATTCACGAGAATGGAAAAAAAACAGACATAAAATATTGGAAAAAGTGGTATTTTGTTACGTCAAACTGTATGACTTAGTCTACTTAATACTACCAACGTTAAATAGATTAAGTCATAGAACTTGACTAACGATCTATTTAAATCCTGCAAGTATGACCTTGCGGAATCTTGTAGCTTCTACAGTAGTCGTAAAATTATGCAAAACGTTTATAAAAGTATAATTTTTTGTTTCACATTTTGAAAAGTGTATGATGATAAAAAGCTATTATATAAACTCAGTTAAAATGAACGATGATCATAAAAAACACAATTGTCTTAGGGGTGATAAGCGAGGATAAATCGACTTTTATACCATTCGATTCATTGCAGTCTCAGAAACACACTGAACTCAAGCGTTAAATTTCCTTATGAGAACTTCCTGAGACCCAGTTCTCTAAGCAGTTTTAGGAGATAATGAAGACTTCTTTTATCAAAGGGCGCCTCAGTAAGGTCAGCACCCCGTGATATATATATATATATATATATGGAAGAACAATTCTAAGCAAAGGAGAAGAATCTTATCATTCAACATCAATCTCGAACGTATGAATATGGTGTATGTTAGAATTACACAAAAGAATTGCAGATAATAGTAAAAATACTATGCAGGTTTATAACAGTTGTTTTCATTGTTTTTTAATATGCAACGTTTTTTTGTGTTCGCGGAGTGCAATCGCGGGGTGCACCCCGCGTTTGGAACCACGAGGTCTTGATAATCTATTGTATCAAACCGGGTGAACTGAAAACTGGATTTTGTACTTTTTTGACCCTTCATTAACGTTTACTTTATCTTAACGAATTAATTATACCGCCTGATTATCATCTGCAAAATGAGCAACTTTTTTACGAACATAGAGTTCCACAATTCCTCTGCTTTAGTTTGCTTCAGATGTTTTCTCCAATAAATGCATGGACATTAGGTGTCAAATATAATTCGGTTGGTACAATGTATAATACTAATCCATCAGAACAGATGGAAAACTCTGCTTTTTATGATTGGCTTAATCAGCAATTTATCAAAGAAACGAAAACTCTGAGACTAATAATGGACAGTCATTATTTTCATTTGTCAAATTCAATAATGAAGTTGACAATTGATAATAAAATTCATTTATGAGGTCTAACACCATGTATAACATCAGCATTACAACCACTCGATGTATATACGTTAAAAATTGTAAAACAGAGTGGAGAAAATTTTTGACTGAACATTATTGAACAAATAACAAGTTAAGGAGTACTTAACTAACCTTTGGATTTAGGTGTAAAATAATCCTTGAATGTTTCGGAAAATTTGGGTTTTATTGATCTGTCACCACCAGACACCTTTTTTGACTTCGGGAGAGTCATATACCTATTTTAAGTTCATGGAAGTTGTTAATAAACCTAAATGGTTGTTGGTTGTAGATTGGATTTTTTCCTCTCCGGAACCCATTTAGTGGGTTTATTAATCGACCTTTTTTTGGGAGAGTAGTATCGTTCATCGTTAGCATCCAATAATTATCACATAAACGTTATCAACTGAATTTTTATCATTTTATTTTTCCAAGGAAGAAAAAGGTGTGGTAATACACCCTTCTTTTTAGTGAGTGCTTCAGGGAGCCTATGTACAGAATTGTGTACTCTGTATTCTCTAAAAAAAATCCTTAGCTTACAAAACGAATATCGGTTTTGACATTTGCTCCTAATAGAAACTGACATCCGTATCGTACAGTCCTGATTAATCGTTTCGCAGAATACGCTTAAACAGCTTTTCTCTGGTACAAAACCTAAAGCCGTTTCTTTACAAGGTAAAAAACGTTCATGCGTATTCTGCGAAACGATTAATCAGGACTATACGATACGGATACCAGTTTCTATTAGGAGCAAATGTCAAAACCGATATTCGTTTTGTAAGCTAAGGATTTTTTTAGAGAGTACTCGTTAGGAGAACTACAATAAGGTTCCACCCGTTTAAGACATCAATTTTTGCACATGACAGAAGCTAAATTCTTAAAAAGTATCATTTCGTGTAAAAAAAGTTTATTGAATCGCCACTAAGATAAAAATAAATAATTCAGAGAAACAGGATGATATCACTATATAAATGTTTCTATATGTGGTCAATTCAGTATACTGGCACTTGAAGCCCACTTGCATTTACTATTCGTTTGGATCTTTGAGCGGCATTTGTCTCATTAAAGTGTTTTTGTAGAAAATCTTCACATACACGCATCATGGTACTTTTTCTTGGATATACAATACTTTTAGATCGTTTACTCTTGTGCGATACTTGTGATAACAGTGATGGTTTCGATTTTGCATTTGTTTTAGATGTTCGTCTTGGTGCCCTTACACTTATTTGTGGCAATTTCTTTGCTCCTATTGCGCTCTTTTGTGATATTTTTGACTTAATAGATCTCACCAATGATCTATCATTAGGTAGTGCTGTTGATGTTTTTGATTTTGATTTATTATTACGTTTCACACCTTTGGGTCGAATACCATTCGAATAGGTAGGGTAAATACTTCGAGGATAAGGTTTTAAACTACTGTGACATTGTGCACCATTATTAATCCATTGTTTAACCTTATTTTCTAAATTAGACATTTGAATTTCTGTCATTTTGTTGATATTTGATAAAAGCAACTCGTAAAAATAAAATTTTACACAAAATGAAAAAACATTGACGGAATTAATAAACAAACCAAGAATATCGGTGTTGGATAATTGATGAAACTGTCGCGATGATATAAAGGCGCGCACAGTTTTAAAATATAAATGCATGAAAGTTATTATTGTAGTCTCCATATGAGGCGTATAGGTGCGAGATTGAGAAACTCACGATACACACTGTTGTTGTGTATCTGCATAGATATCAGAATGAAAATATTCTCAGAAACTCATGTTCTGTTCAAAATTTGCACATCTTCCCTTTTCTAAACGTTTTTTTCCTTGGAATCTGATATTATTCTGCTATTCATAATTTATTTTAGAAAAGGTGTAATGGAAACGCTCTTGGACGACAAGAAATATATGAAATTTGAACATTAAATAAACAGTTTATGATTTGATAATATATAAAATATCGGCTAATGCTTTTTGTAATCGATTATCGAAATAGATTGAATATGAAAGATCTAATAGGCGAATTTCGTAACGCAAGAAATAGATTCGACTTTTATTAATTGATGCTAGTAGAGTTAAACATGAAATACATGTATCAATCATCATATCAAGTGATTGATTTATCAACAATGGTGTACATGGCGTGGTAATAATAAGTTGTTGTTGATAGTATTCATATTGTTCCATATAATTAATTAACAAATCAATACAAGACGGATGTGAACCGAAAAAATTCGATAGTTGTCGACTACGTTTACATAATGAACAAAGAATTATAAGAGAATACTCAAAATCTGTGGGAGTTAATTTTGATAGTGAAAATTGAGTCATATTTGATAGAATATGATGTCCCAAAGATTTTAATTGTTTCATAGATAAATCTGATAATATCAGATCAACATTCGATTCATTTGTACATAATTTCGCTAATATTTGTATAGATACCTCTCGTGGTGAAATGTATATGGGTTCATTATTGTCATTTAACATCTGAATAAATAATTCATCGGTCAACGATAATGAACATAATATCCAGTGACAAATGGTATTGATAAGACGCTGTCTAGTGGGTATTTGACACAAACGAAGTTCAATTAGATTAGCCAAACTCGATAATGTTACAAAGCTATGATCAAGAATAGTCATCAATTGAAGTTGGTGACAATCATTCACACACGATAATGGTTCGGCACAAGTGGTAGACAATGTTGATGGTTTGTAAAATGTTTCAAAATAATCAATACTTGATGTGTTGCTATCAGACTAAAAAATAACAAAAAAATGAATGTAAATACAGTAGTGAGTATCCATCCTACCATTCTGTATCTTCATATACTGTCGACTCTTATGCTGCTTCAGTTTGAAACTGTTTATAAATATTTATAATGGAAGAACAGAAGTTATCGACATTTAGACATACTAAACTAAATAAAGCTTATTTGTAGACCAATAGATAGCATGAGCTACATCCGCATAAAAGTTCTAATCGGTCAGATATGGGTTTATGAAGATACAGAATGGTAGGATACTCACTACTGTACTTCAACTATGCCGTTTCATTTGACAAAAAAAAAAAGCGTTTGTTATACAACTGCTCAACTTTTTTCTATTACCTGAGCCCAATTGAATGTCCTCTCATTATCATCCTGCTCGGCTTCATCCAGATCATTTCTTGAATTTATTTTATTTAAATTTATTGTACACATGTAACATGACTCAAACTGTATTTGTTCATTCTCAATTTCATATTTTTCATGTAATTGTTGATGTTGAAGTATCAAAATTCTTTCTAAGATATCAATTAAACGTTTGTCATTCGCCAAATAATGTTCATTTTCATCGATGAATGTTAAATTTCGAATTATGGTTGATATACATGTACAACGAGTCATTATCGAATGTATACGATCAAAATTATTATGACTATTATTATTCAACTCGTCTTCATTGTCATCATGATCAACTTCCTCATTTACACTTTCATCAGTTATTTGCACATTATGTGATAATCGATCATTCCACGGTAAATGATGAGAAGTTGATGTTTCATTAAAAACACTTGAATTATCGGAATCAGTATCATTCGATTTTGATGTGGGAGATTGATTCATTTTTAGTGGATGAGTAAACAAAGGACAAAATGATGAACGAAACGACCACGATGGTGACGATGTTCGCCGATTAAAATCAATTGATCTCATCCGACTGTTCGTCGCAGTAGTTGCAGCGCGTGCACGTGCTCGACCATTCACACCCGGCTTCTGTCCTAATCGTTTAATAAAAACATGAGGAGCACTTGTAGACGATAAGGATTGTGTTAAAAATTCATATTCAATTGCTTCGTTTTTGATGAACGGACTGCATAACGGTTTATTATCACAATCAGGTGAATCGGATGAAAAGGGTGGATTATTAAAAACAAATGGTAATCGTTGTTCATTATTCTCGAACTCATCACTATTATCAATGAAATTTATGGTGGTCATTGGTTTATCATCCAATTGATAGAGAATATAAGGCGTAATTTTGTTATGTTGTCGCTTTTTGTAAGAGACTGTTTTTTTTGTTAATAATTGTTTTAAAGCGTATCGTTTTGAACCGTAGAATAACTGTTCAAGTTTTTTCTCATTCGTTGTTGGTCCAATTGCCGAATTATGCAAACGTAATTTCGATTTCAAAAACCATTTCATATACAAATTATTTGTGGAATTTGGTTGTAAAAAATCTTCTTCATATAATTCGTATAAACAAGCTAAATATTGTTCGATAAGAGCATTAAATAGACCGGGTAGAGTTTTTAAATTGAAATACATTGCTGTATGTTCATCTGACAACCATAAATTTAGAGTATCTAACAAATGATTACTATCGGCCGATTGTCCGGCACGTAAAGTATAAGAAAAACGTTGAATATCATTGATGGGCATATTTTCTAATAACAGTTTTCGCTGGGTCTGTATTCGTTGATTCAAACGTAGCAGATTATGTACGGTATTCGGTATGACTAATTGTGATGTTGTTAGCGTACTCTTATCTAACGTTGATTTATTGGTAGTGACTGACAATGGATATAATTGTTGTAAATTTGTTTGTTGTATTAATAATTTAGCAATGGCATTGGCGAGATCTTGTTGTATTGGTCTCAATTGCTCCACATTATTTGTAATGATCGATTGATGTGATGCTTTTTCCTGTGTTATTATAACACCTCGTTCTTTCATCATTGTTTCATTCGAAACATCGTTAGCAGTGGTGGAGGTGGTCGATGGCGTTTCAATTATTTTATTAATTATTACTTTTTCGTCTGATGACTCCATTCCTGCTGTTGTTGTTGTGAATGATGACGTTTCATTGTTCGAATGATGATTCACCTCATTATTAGTATTATTCTCGGATGCCTGTCGTACTTGTTGACGTTGTTGCAATGTTTTCATTGATGAGATCATTTGTAATTGTTGTTTATTTGCTTTAGCGCTGAAACATAGATTAGTCTATGAGTCCAGGTTTATTAACTACCATACCATTTGTTGAACAACTTACATTGTACGTGAAACAGATGATGCATTATTATTACCACGTTTTCGTTTTTTCACCTAAAATAGTCGACACTCGTCAGTCTAATCATTTAGTATGAAATAAAACTGTAATATCCATACCGTATGTGGCATTTCTGATAATTCAATAACACCCTGTGGATCAATTCCGCCGCGATCGAATCGACATTCATATGCTAATAATCCAAGACGAACATAATTCCGTTTAACACTGTAGGCAGCTGAGCCTAAAAAAGACTATTTTTAAACGTAAAACTATCAAAATTTTGCTGCTGTCAAATTTCGCAGAAGGTAGGATCCTCGGTTTAGCACGCTCACTGTCCACGTATCATATATGATTCATTTAATTGTTGTTGGAGAGTGAACGTGTTAAATCTCAGAAAAAAAAGATTCATACCACTATCGCCAAAACCCAAAATAGTTGCCACATCTTTCCAACCTCGATTTGTGGTTATTTCTAGATAACCTTGTTTTTCTAAAACAAGTTTGTGTAATTTATATAAATCGAGTGTTTGATTTGTTATTGTTGGATAAGATTGACAATGCACCCAATTTTCTTCCCAAATCGTTTGTAGACGTTGTGAAAATAACAAACGATCGGGTTCCGTGCCAAATTTTGATAATTTATTAAATATTTCTGTTAATAATTGTCGGCTCATTTTTTCACGTTCAACTGGTTTTTCGAGCGTTTGTTCATGTTGTTGTTGCTGCTGTTGTAAACTCATGTTTGGTAGATTAAAATTATACAAATTATTATACAATGTAGCACATGAATTGATATTTTTTGTTGAAGACGAATCAAATGTAAATGTATAACACATTGGAGTGTGAATATTTGCGTCGTGTATTGAATTTTGATAAGATGATGGGAATGACTTTTGCCAAGAAGATATTTCTGGTGCCTGTTGTTTTTGATCAAAAATTGTTGAACTGATGTTTTGAGTGGAATTGTCGGTTTCGAACTGATTACTGATCTTTGACAACTCTTGATTATATCCAATTTGGCCTCTAAGTATGAACACAAAAAGAAAATTAGCATTAAATTGGCGATATTTTTTATATACTATTTTAAATAATAGTTACTTATTATCGTCAAACATCTGATAAAGATCAGCACAGTCCAGTGTCATAATAATTTTGTATGATTCAAAAACGAAGATTCTAAAAATGAAGCACGTTTTTAAATGCAACTAGACACAACACAAAAGAAAGAAAACTGAGAGTTACATGAGACAGAATTTCTGTTAAGTGTCCGTTGTTTATAAAAAAAACGATAAGTATGATATTAGATCTCTAACAACGAAAATCAAATCATTTTCCTAGAGCAAATTTTTTTGGGAAGTTTCTCATTCAATAAGTTGATGTGTCAAATAAGACCTGACCTTATTATTAAACAACTTTCTTTTAGATGTGGTTAAAAATACAATCATAAATATAATATAAACTTTTTATGAGACATCAGTTATCTTTGATCTTCTGACTTTGGCAGAGGAACTCTACTTTTAAAACTTTATCCTCGTCTGACTAAACTAAAAGATGTTCACAGGGCATATGTTACATCAGGGGCATCGCTACTTTTTCGGACAGTAGGCGTCCACTAGTTCTCCCTATGTTTTTTGCTTGTACACAACTTATTCACGTAAAAGTCCAGTTTTTTGCGTAAGTCAATCAGCCAAATAATGACGCTTCATTCGAGTGAACTAGAGAGTTGGAGAACATTTTATATTGTACCCAGGTTAAAAGCGTCTCCTGACATCTAATATTTTCTACAAGATCATATAATAAGATCTTCGAAAACTAGTGTATAAGATGTGATAGCCTTTTCAAGATCAAACGGCAAAAAATCATATGATCTAGCTAGATAGAGCAGTCAATAGTGTATTATGTTTAAATTTTCTTTTTTTTAACTTTATGCGTTATCTGAGCACAAAATGAAGTGGATAACTTAGGAACGTGACTAAACACGATCCTATGGTGTCTGGATCCTACCTGTACTAGAAAATATCAATAAAAGAAAAATACAGGGAGATAAGGAGGAATGATAACAAAAGACACGCATATTAGTTTGAATCTTTAGACGAATTATTTGTAAGATCTTACGGATTCTGGTATGGTCTTGTCAATTCCTGTAAGTTCATACAAGTTCTTATTACACGATTTTACAAAATTTTATTTCAAGATTCATGGATCTGAGAAGCTCGAACACTTTTCTTTAAAATAGTAATACAGCATATTCTAGCAGGTAGCTTTTTTAAAAGATGCAACGTTTCTGAAAAAAAGACGTATTTTGTAATTTTCTACAGATCTTAGTGTTTATCTATCTTGCTGTTGCTAGGCTCCGATTCAGTGTTATTTCATAGAAAAATATTTAGGCTACTAAATAAAAAGTTCTCAACTCTTACTTAGATGAACAACTATTAAAGAATTTAACTGACTTTCGTCCACTGATCGGTCTCTGTATCATAAAGTTTTAATACACAGTTGCTTGTTTTTTAGAACGAAATACAATAGAAAAGAGAGTAAGTATGTTAAAACACGTTCTCATTGTCTTCCGATTTTCTGCCATCAGTTTGTAACGCAGTAGTGTTAGTAAACAAAAGCATAAATACTATGAAAATAAAGCTTTCTTAAATAGGAATTCCTGTTTAACAAAAATGTGAACATAATTCTTCTTTTTCCAGCAAGATTATTAGTTTAAGCTTCATTCCCTAACAATCTGAAATTATTATTTCTTATGGTTTTTTCGCACACTTCTATAATCGAAAGAAACAAATTTTTCAGAAAATAATATGATATGCCGATCACTAAACGTGTTCTCTACGGATGACATCATTATTAATAAAAAAGTTAGGGATGTAGACCCTCTAATAATACTCGAGTACTATGCTAACCTATGGATTGCAGAACTCAATGCATCATTTGCTATTTACCATTAAATAAAAGCACTGTAGGAACAACTAAATTTCTTGGTTTATGCTACTAAGTTTTGGGTTAATTAAAATCGAATTTATGCACAGTCTATCATCTTTGCTAAGCAAAAAGCAGACTTACCAGTTGGTTAAAAGCCATTTTTGAAAAGTGCGCCATTTTTATAAACACAGTCTAATATCCAACACTGTTCAATCAATCAATATGCCGTTTCACTATTCCATATATTCTATATACTATATACCACAAGTGAAAATAATGAAAGCTTTTACCAACTTAAAAGGCGCCATTTGTTTTCATTAATTTTCTTTATACTTGCACAAATAATCATATCCGCATATGAAAGATAATTAATTATTGACCGCATCGTCCGCGAAATACATCCTATAAGACTATAAAAGATCTGAAGTTATCTTACAATACATTCTATTCGATGAAATAAACTCCTTAAATTTCTCCCTACAAAGTCCTTCAAGATCAAGGCACAAGATTCTATCATATGAAATAATTATTAATTACTCGATATATCAGCAAGATATTATTCTGAGTAATAAACTATAAAGTTCGTTTAAATGAAATAAGCAGTGTAAGTAGGCAGATAGTTCTTGGTGAGGGCGATTTCAGTAGACAGAAAACAAGGTAACATTTATCTACCACATCTTTTTTGTTAACCGTTATTTGTTCTAACACGCCAAAAAAATAAAAACTTTATATTATATAGTAACTTAAAATAAACGTGTCTGCAGAGTTCTGCAATAGATCTGCAGAAATCTTTGCATTTGTAAATTTCTGTGCAGAATATAGGCAAGATTATTACCAGGAATCCTACCAGATTTTGCGAGAAATCTGTACAGATTGTTACAAAATATTGACAGATTCTTCGGAGTTTAGTAGATTTTTACTATACGCTATAGCTTCAGCGAAAATGTTCAGCTTCCAAATTTGTGCACAATCTGTTGATATTCTGAAATAGATCTTCGCCACCTTGACAAAACCATTTAAAATAGAGAACGCATTTTATCACGTTTCTCATGAGAAAAATCGCTGTGATGAGTGTAGAACAGTCTTGTGGCGTCCTCTCTTATATTATATTAGGTAAAACACTCAGTGCGAAGATTATATACATGAACTTCATGAAGACCATTAAAAGGTGCGTTTTTTCTAAGTGTTCATATGCGTAAGCTTATGAATGAATATTTGTGGTGGTTGTTAAGCAGCATGGACGCGATGCCGAAATAATGGTGTGTTATGAATGAGTATTATCTGTTCGTAAACAGTCTCAACAAAAAACAACTAAAAACATTTTGAAAGAGTCAAAAGGTACACTTGTAATGTCTGAGTAGATTTATTCTTATATTCATCGTCACATTCTTCTATCTCTTATGAACAAAACCATATTTTAAAAACAGCCCTGCTTTAGATTGAGACTGAGGACTGGCATTGTTTATTGGTTATCCTATCGAAAGTTTGGTTTTATAGCAATAACATTAGTTTTTTCTTTTGCTTTTAAGAGTAACGATGTCAATAATACCACCCTCAGCGTCCCTAGTACGTTTTGACAATCCGACGTTGATCTCAGCACAAACAGATCGCGATCGAAAAGGTATTAGTGGTGGAATGGGTGGAAAACAAAATGAACAACTCATGGATATTCCCGGAATGTCACCTCAATTACAGAGAAAACAACAAACAGTGAAAGATTTATCGTTAGAAGAAATTCTGGATAAAATATTACCACCAAGGTGGTAACTGATTGTTATTAACAACAATAATAATAAAATCAACGTTTGATCATTTTTGTTCGTGTTTAGAATGACAAAAGATCCAAATAATTCAGATTTATTATATTGTCAACGTATATCATCGACACCAGCTACTCGATTAGATGTAATTAATTTACAAGAGCAACTTGATATGCGACTTCAACAACGACAAGCACGAGAAACGGGCATTTGTCCTGTGCGTAGAGAACTATTTTCTCAATGTTTTGGTATGTGTCCTACTATTAAAGTATATACTTGTTCTATTATCATGTTCTTTCTTCATTTTTCTGCTTTTTCAGATGAACTTATTCGTCAAGTTGCTATTAATTGTGCTGAGCGTGGTCTATTATTACTTCGTGTCAGAGATGAACTACAAATGACATTACGTGCCTATCAGACTCTATACGAAAGTAGTGTAGCATTCGGAATGAGAAAAGCCTTAATGGCAGAACAAGGCAAAGCAGAATTAGAACGAAAAGTGAGTTGTAGTATGATTTAGTTTGCAATTTTAAATAAGATAAAATCTGGTTAATAAAAAAAAAGAGAAGGGTAGAGTTTGTATCAGTAAACATTGACTGTAGTTTTGCACTCGTATACCGATCTTTATTTGTTTGTTGGCTTCGTTGTGCAAACGCATATAAAATACAGGTTCATATATTTATATCAAAAAAGCTTTAGAAATAATTCTACTTTATCTTAGGAAAAAGAAATTCTTTATTGGTATTTTTATTTGCATAGCTTGTTCAACTTGACGAAGATAAACGTGAATTAGAACGACAATTAAAAGACACAAAAGCGAATGCTGAAGCAACTGAAAAAAAATTAACTGAACAACGACAAGTTGAAGAACGAAAACATATGGAAGAAATTAATTTTCTGAAAAAAACAAATCAACAATTAAAGGTATAGTATAATTAAATTTTTAAAATGATTAAATATTAAATTTTCATCTATTTTTTTATCTTTTTAGGCACAACTCGAGGGTTTAATTGCACCAAAAAAATAATTTGAAGATATTTTTAAGACAAAAACATAATTTTGAATATTTTAAGAACATTTTTATAATCATATCTGTTTTGTAACTTCTTTATTCTTTACTTTTCATTGATATAAATCTTCTAATTGATTCT